CGACGGCGGCGGCGATTCCGACCACCACGGACGGCGGTGCTCCGGCCAGAATCGAGCTGTGAAAATGGATGGGTTTTCTTCGTCTCGCTGCACTGAGTCCATAGGGACTGAAATCATCTCAATCGGAGGTCGGATGGCGGATATATCACGACGGGAAGAAATGGGAATTTCGGAACTTCCGCCGGCGATTGCGGCTGATTCCGGCGGGGTTGGAGGTCGTGCCGCATGTCGTTGAACTCAGCTCGTCGAGATCTTTCTATTGACACCGGTGGTGTCAAAAATGGAGGTCGGAATCTTAACTTGAGTATTTGGCCATTGATGGTTTGTGTGAGAGAAAACGTGAGAGGAGAGAGAATGAGCGAGAATAAGAGAAAGAAAGTGTAAGAACCCTAAAAATTTCACTATATAAAGTATCTGATTAAGGCAAGATTACGTGCCTGATCTTATCCTCAATTATTTCTTCTAAACAGATTAAATTTATACTGATTAGAGGTAATTAGTTTAGCTCACGTAAGTTAATCTACTACTTACAGTCCAATATCAATTTCTGAATAATTCAATATTGTTTTATATTCTTACTCGCGTAATATTTCAAACTGTTTCAAGTCTTGAAATTAATTTTAGACTGAACAAATTCTAAATTTTAATTTTCTGTATTCTATCCCAAGAATGACGTTTCTGACAGTGTCAACTCCCGAGCTCATATTGTATCCATCTACTATAGGTATTTATCTTGTGACTTTAACCTAACTGTCTAGCAATTAAGGATTTTTTTCTTCTTTTAAAATGCCAGTGCGTTTTTTTTTATACGCCGCTAACATCGTGCTGTGCTTAGAGATTCTTGAAATTAAGATTCTCAAACTATACTTGTACTGAAAATTATTCCGCCTTAAAATACTGCGAGAATTTATCGATCGAATTTACTTGATCGAAACATGAACTTAACATGAAATTTGCTATAGAATTTAGGAATACATATATTAATTCCATAAATCCTCCATTCACAATATAACATAATATTTTCTAAGAAAATCCTTGGCTTAAAAATATATAAATTGTATTATTTAAGATCTGAAATTTTCTCAGTCATTACGCTATATCTGACAATCTTTGCGGTCCCTATAGCTAGATTGCATTTGTGTGTGAACTTTTTGTATGGAGAATCATTAAGTGGCAGCATTACAGATGCAAAAGTGTCACGTCACGAGAGAATGAATGAATTGAGATTCATAAATTAGTGTGAAAATTCAATGAGATTAGAGAGAAGTTTGAATGTGAAGTGGCTTATTTTTTTATTACTTTTTTTTTATTCAAGGAGAATATATACTTTGTTTCTTTAGTGGAAAAGTATATTTTCCTTAGTAGACAAGTTATTCTAGAATGATAAGTGGAATATATTGGATTACATTCGCCTTTGAACTATATTAAAAAAATTTCAACATATATTCACGTTCATTTCATCGATTTGAATTTTCAATTTTAATTTTATTACAGTTAAAAGCTCTCACAAAATCACATTTAACTTTTTTACTACAATTAAAAATTCTCATAAAAAGTTACATCTAAACTTGAAATGAAAACTCGAATCGACAAACTAAACGAGGCCATAATAACAACCAAAGGGTTATTTTTTTATTTTTTATTTTTATTTTTTTGTTGGGGGTTGAGAAGGGGGTTAAAATATACTCTAGTATAGGTGAAGTTACTATTAACTAATTAGAGCTCGTTTGGTAAGAGGTTCAGGGTGATTTGAAACTTTTAGGTTTAAACCATGTGTGAGGTTCTTTAGGATTTGAACTTGTGATTTGAATCTTTGTTTGGATGTATGTAAAAAAATGGAACCATATGTGCTTGAATGGGCAAAACCCAGGGAGGAGCCAAGTTCTCATTTTTGGTTTTGAGATGAGTATAAATATCCCATCTGAATTTCAATTCAAATTTATTTTTTGAAGTGCCAAACGAAGTTTCTATTGAGCCCGTAAGTTCAAACCAACAGAACTCCCTTACCAAACAAGCCCGAATTTTTGGTGGTTAAGCAATTATAAGATTAATTAACCTTTGTTCAAGTAAGCCTTTTGTTCTAACTTAATGGAAGTGAAAGTTCAATCAGAAATAAAGTTAATTATTAGATCTTTAAATTTAAATGTTCACGTTATCAACATACTTAGTTACTAAAAGACAAACATGTTTCTGGAGAGAGAAAGTTATACAGAGAGGTTCTGTAAGAACAGAGAGATGGTGCATTTCGCGGTCGGTGGTCAAACGTTTTAAGCGGCTGCCGGCCTCTAAAGTTATTTGAGAAGATCGTAAAGGTCACCGGCTGACATAAGTGTGGGTAGCCACTGGAATGGAGCCGTTCAAAGGGAATAAGTCGTCGTTATTCTCCCCTAGATCTAGGACGTGTTTATTGCGAGATTCCGTTAAAACTCCGGGAGCTAGGTCACAGAAGAGAGGCGAGAAAAGTGGACCCGCGAGTGTGGCAATCGCCGCCCGTTGGCAACGGCGCACATGTTCCATCTAGATTTAAAATTTTAATTTTTATACTTTAGATTTCTTTAAAACTTTAGCTATGTCCTTATTTTATAAAATAAATCATACTATGTGGCAACTCAATAACTAAAACTTATAATAATGTTCTTATTTAATAAAATATGTATATGTATATTGCGGTAATGACCTAGTAAAAAAAAACTTCCTTCCTTTTTTTCCCTTTTTGAAAGTAGAATTGCAAATTTAAGCCGGATTAAATGGATCGGTCTGAGGCCCGTTAGTGTTGGCTTGAGCCATGTCTTAAATTTTTTAAACTTAGAGTCGGGTTGGGCCAACTCTCTCTCATTTAGGGGCGGTCCGGTCCGGCTCACACATCATATTTTTAAAGATTTTTTCAAAAATTTCTTATAAAATTTCAGGTTAGCCCGGGCCGGCCCTAAACTTTTTGGACTTAAGACTGGGTTGGGCCAACTCTTTCTCCCCAGTCTAAAATATCTCTACGGGCCGTCGAGTTCGAGCCGGACTGGGCGGCTCAAATTTACACCTCTATTAGAAAGTAAGCAAGGCTTGCAGTAAAAAAATAAAATAAAAAGAATAGACTTTTTTCAGTAAGTCGACTTATAGAGATAAAATCAATTTTTAACTATTAAATATGATTAAAATCACGTTAAATTAAAAAAATATATATAATAAACAGTTTTAGGCCTCGTTCATTTCACCGATTCGAGTTTTCAGTTTTAGGTTTCTACAGTAAAAAGCTCTCAGAAAATGTCAAATCTAACTTTTTATGTTACAGTGAAAAGCTCTTAAAAAATGTCACATCTCAACTCAAATTGAAAACTCAAATCCGCGAAGTGAACGAGAATTTAATATAGATACGGTGGTTAAAAAGTAAAAAACTACTATTATTTGTTAAGCTCTACGAGAGAAACTCGTTTAAAAGAAAGAAATAAACAAAGGTCGGGTCAAAGGCCGGAATAAGCTGATGATAATTCGGGTCGGGTAAAAGGTCGATCAAGTTCGGTTGTCACAAAGCGCCAAATAGGGCCCACTGAGCGAATCGCAACACAAAACGCTGTCGTTTTGTTTGTCCCGCTGTCATCTTCGGCATAGTTCTCCAAAAACCCTAATCCTAAACCCTTCTGCAACATCACTGAGAAAGTTGCGTTCTCCTCCAGAGGTAGCCGCCATTGTTACAGCCTCGAGCGATCATGTTGCGCAGAAACATTCGTCTAAGGAGGGAATACCTCTACCGAAAGAGCTTAGAAGACAAAGCTCACTCGCTCTATGAGAAGAAGCGCAAAATTCGAGAAATCCTCGAAGGTTTGAAATTTATGTGTATACACGTATATACGAATGCTATATATGTTTATTTACGATATAAAGTTCCCTACTTACTCCTTAATCCCTAATTTCATTGCTTTATTTTTAATTTATTTCTCTGGCAGAGGGAAAACCGATTCCCACTGAGCTTCGGAACGAGGAGGCTGCTCTTCGCCATGAAATTGATCTCGAGGATGAAAACACCGCAGGTAGTTTTTTTAAGCATTTTTTTAATTTTCTGCTTGGTAATGGTGAAATTTAGTTGCATTGTATCAGTTAAGCTAATCGATTTTATGAATTAGTGACTTATATTGTATTCTGATTATTGTTATTGTTGTTTTGTATTGGTATTCTTCAATTTTCCAAATGAGGTTTACTTTAAACTAGAGGGTTGTGTTAATATTTGTTGAAATGCTGCTTATAGCTCATTCTTTTTTTATTTTATTTTTTATTTTGATGATCCTAGTGCCGAGAACGCATATCGACGACGAGTACGCTAATGCAGCGGAAAGGGATCCTAAAATTTTGATAACTACATCCAGGGACCCAAGTGCTCCGCTTCAACAGTTTGCAAAGGTTGGTTTGGGCTACTTATAGTCCTATATTTTTTTCTCTCGGGTTGTAGTATGTACTTATGTATTCTATATTAATTGTATTGTTTAAGGTTATGTTTGATGCTTGGTGTGATTAAGTGACATTTTTATTTCCAGGAATTAAAATTTGTCTTCCCTAATGCGCAACAAATGAATCGTGGTGGGCAGGTCAGTGAAGTCTCCTATCCTTTTTGGCCTTTTCTGTTCTTCGCTTGTTCTGTTTGTTACTTATTAGGCAAAAATGAAGGAATAAAACATTATTGTCAAGTGATTGTATAGAACTGTAAAGACATCTGTTTTTACTTTTTTGTAAGTAGTGTTAGGATATGTTTATATAAGGGGCTGTCACTTCAAACTTTTGGAAAAAGAAATTAAGAATTAAGATATTGTGTTTTTGTGAATTTGACATTCTGTTTCCCGGGGTCTGTGTTGTGATGAAATGAGACAAGATGGTGCCGTTAATAGCTTATCTTAAAAGGGAATATAACCATTGTGGATGTAAAGTTATGGCCTTTTGATGATGGAGGGTTTGTTTCCTCCGCAGGTTATTTCTGAAATTATTGAAACCTGCCGTGCTCATGATTTCTCTGATGTTGTATTGGTCCATGAACATCGTGGAGTACCAGCTGCGCTAACTATAAGCCATTTGCCTTTTGGTCCAACTGCTTCTTTCCAGTTACTCAATGTGGTACGTACTATCCTTTTTTTCTCATTTTTTGTTAGTGTTGGGAAAATGGTTTGGCAAAAAAAAAAAAAAAAAAAAAGGACCACAAAACAAGTGTTCCTTTTTTTTTTTTTTTTTTTTTTTTTTTTTCAAAATAATGTGTGACAGAAATTTAAATTGTGCCACAAAGAGGTCGAATAAGATTAACTAATTATGGACTTCCAAAGAAATGTCTCTTGCATACTTGTATTACTGTGATTATTAAGAAGTATTTCTGACGTCTGCCCTGTTTTCTAATACTTGGTCCTTTTTAATCAGAGTATTTGTGTTAATTTTAAAGTCTTTTAATGATTCCTATGTTAGTTGGACTTAATAGGCTGTCTATTGGTTAGTACTAGATTCTTTTTTATCTGCTACATAGTTTTATTGATACGCTGGTACTATTTCTTACCTGTAGGTTACAAGACATGACATTAAGGACAAGAAAGGCATCGGAACAATGCCTCAGGCCTACCCACATTTGATTCTTAATAATTTTACAACCAAGGTATTGTATTTGGTTGGAGCAAAAGTTATTCATTGTTATTTGATTCGGTTTATCTTGCTTTGAGACACAAAATCGAATCAATTATCTGGGCATTGAGAAATTAAAATAATTTTCCTTATGTTTATTAGGAGTAACATAATTAATTAGACTCATCAACAGCTGATGGAAAGACTGCTGAAAGTACCTTAAGATATTTCACGGTTAAATGCACAAGTCTTATAAACTGCTCTAACCTTACTCATTACAGCAATGGAGTTGTTCATTATTTTTTCCTTCCCCTGATTGTTTCTCTGCTCTGTGTGTGTGTGTGTTTTCCCAAGCTTGGTTTCATGAGATGTACAATTGCAGATTGAGTTTTTCTGATCAAGATTTTACTATCATATGTATACTAGTTTACTATTGCTACCTGAATAACTGACATTATCTTTTTTTGGTTTAATTTTTAACTCTTTTAGCTGGGTGCGAGGACAGCAAATATTTTGAAGCATCTCTTTCCAGTGCCAAAGCCGGATACGAAACGCATCATCACTTTTGCCAATCAATCTGATTATATTTCATTCAGGTTGGTTCTGTCACGTGTAGGAGAGACGCTTGTCGCTGCCACTAATAACTAGTATTATACACAGATACAAGTTTATTAGCGGCATACATGTTTGCTTTAATATATTAACAATGCTGTTTCGAAACTTTAGGCATCATGTTTATGAGAAGCAAGGAGGTCCTAAGTCCATTGAGCTGAAGGAGATTGGTCCTCGTTTTGAACTGCGGCTTTACGAGGTAGTTGTTATGCCATCCAGTAAATTTTTCATTTATCACCCTCCTTATCGAAAGGCAATCACTTTTAGTAGAGAATGAATATACTATATCAGTACGCTTGTTTTACTTTACATTCTGGAACCTGGAGGGCTAAAACAAGGGTGTGAACTTTGTCTTCTCAGCTCCTTGGCTTCTTTTGAGGAACATATAATTATTAGTCTTTTGAATGGGTCTGTTGGAGACGCTGTTACATGTTTGAATCTTTTTAACCTTTCTTCTCATAATAGTCTGCGGTTTCTTGCGTAGTATTTTGATCATTCATATTTATTGTTGAGTAGATTTAAGTCTCATGTTTGCATAATTTATTGACGTTTCATTTTCTTTTTTGTACTGCAGATAAAGTTAGGGACGGTGGATCAACGTGAAGCACAAATTGAATGGGTGATTCGACCGTATATGAATACAGCCAAGAAGCGGAAGTATCTTGGCGATTGACGTAACTGCTTGGTGTTTACGCTTCTCAATGGGGTTTTGGTTTACCAGGTATAGATCTTCATTTACATCTAAATGTCTTTAAGCTTTATTTACATTGTTCTTCTTAGCCAATTTTTTTCTACTATATCTGTGAAAACAGTTAAAATTTAAGAACTATCTATGGAAATTAATTTTTATTTTCCGTATTATTTTAATCCCTAAACTTTAGATGTTTCCAATTTTACTCTCTAATTGGCTGGTATTGCAGATGAAGTTGCGCACATCGATCAAACTGAAGCCCAACCAATTGTCAACATACCATAAAAGAATGCTCTCAAGAATATGAAGTTTTGCTAGGGATTGACTCCATCTCAAAAGCTTTTGGGCTTGAGCTTATTGGTTTCTTTTCTTTCTCTTTTTTATTTTTTATTTTTTATTTTTTATTTTATAAAAAAAATCAGAGAGAGAGCGAGTGAGCCTTATTGGGGTTTTTATTTGGCTTGCTTAGTTCTGGTTCTTGGTTCATGTACCATTAAGTTGGTAAATTTTCATTATAGATTTTTTTTCCCTTTCTTCAAAATCCTGTTAATTTGTTGCGGCTGGCGTAATTACAGATTCTAAAGAAATATGTATAATAGAAAGAGTAATCCATACTTATTCCATGTCTTATTTATCTTTTCATCTCCGTATTAAAGTTGATAGGTATTTATTGTTGATGGTGGAATAATGATGTTCCAATGTAAGATCACATCAAGATTTCTATGTTCAAGTACACGCCTCAAAAAATGTTTGGAGACCAGAACCCTTTTGACGGTAGCTGCCACTCTGAGGAAACTGATGTCTCTAAGGTTGCACTTGTGGAAAAGTGGCACATCAGTGACAAAGTGGATTGTCAAGTCAGAGCTGGCAATTTGGGTTGGGCCGTGTCAAACGGGCAAGGGTTGGACTGTCTATATACTCAGACGGTTCGGCTCGGTCCAACCCAATTTCTCATGGAATTCTATCAAGTGAGAAAGGACTTCTTGAAGGACCAATGAAAGGCGTTCAAGACTGAGTTTGCAACCAAAAAAAAAAATCAAGAAACAAGGAAAAAAAATTCCAAAATAGTAACCCGTCCCTTCATCTTCAATTCTTATTTATGATGACTTTTCCACTCAACAATTTTCCATTTGAAATGTCCCACTTCAGCCCTTTGAGTTACACTGTGATGCTTCCAAAGTCAGCATTGGAGCTGTTTTGAGTTGGAATAACCGGCCCGTAGCATTTTTCAGTGAAAAGTTATCTGGGTCACGTACGCGACACAATACTTATGACGTGGAGTTTTATGTAGTTGTCCAAGCACTGAAACATTGGCGTCACTATCTTTTCCAGCGAGAATTTATTTTGTTCACGTATCACTCTCAAACATCTCCATAGTCATGATAAGATGACTGCTCGACATGCATCTTGGGTTGCCTACGTACAGCAATTCACTTTTGTCATCAAACACAAATCTGGGGTGACAAATCGCGTTGTTGATGCGTTGAGTCGTCGGCTAAGCATGCTGACCACATTCTTTTCTTCTATTATGGCGAGTGTGAAAGCAGGGGAACAGTCATATTTCTTGTTGCATGATGGGTTTCTTTTTAAAGGAAACGAATTATGTGTTCCGGATTGCAGTATAAGCACCCAGATTATCAAGGAATTACATGGAGAAGGTCATGTGGGACGTGATCGTACGTTACAGTTGGTAGCAGCATCGTACTATTGGCCGTCCATGCGAAAGGAGGTCGGCAAGTTTGTGGAACGGTGTCGAATCTGTCAGGTGTCTAAAGGAAAGGCTACAAACGCTAGATTGTACATGCCTTCGCCCATTCCTACTCAACCTTGGACAGATATTAGCATGGATTTTGTCTTGGGGCTGCCTTGTACATAGAAAGTTAATGATTCTATTTTTGTCGTGGTGGATCGTTTTCTCAAAAACGGCGAATTTTATTCCGTGCAAGAAGAGGAAAGGTGCCGTCAATGTCGTGCAGTTGTTCTTACGTGAAATTTACCGTCTTCATGGGCTGTCTAAGTTTATTATCTCAGATCGTGATACATGTTTCCTCAGTCACTTTTGGCGCAGTTTATGGAAGTTGGTCAATATCAGGCTTGATTTTAGCAGTGCTTAGCATCCTTAGACAAATGGGCAGACTGAGGTCATTAATCGTTCCCTCGAGGACCTTTTGCGCAGTTTGGTTGGAGATCATGTTAAGTCTTGGGATTTGAAGTTGTGCCAAGCAGAATTTGCCCACAATCATGCTGTCAATAAGAGTTCTGGTTTCAGTCCTTTTCAGGTTGTTTCTTCTGCTCTTTCTTCTGCTCTTCCTCAAAGCAGAGGATTTTGTTACAAGTCTGTAGCAGGTGTATACTCAGGTGCATGATAATCTCCTGCAATCGTCTATCAAGTACAAAGATACTTCTGATAAGAAGCGACGTCACGTGGAGTTTAGCTTTGGTGATTTTGTGTGGGCTATCCTCACAAAGGATCGCTTCTCTGTGGGAGATTACAACAAATTGTCTGCCTGCAAGATTGGTCCAGCGAAGGTTGTCGAGAAGATCAATCCAAATGCCTATCGACTTAAGCTGCCAAGTCATGTCCGTACTCATGATGTGTTCAACGAGATTGGGCTATTCTTCTTCTGACGAGGACGAAGCTGCAAATTCGAGGGCGAATTGTCTCCGGCCTGCGGAGGATGATGCGGTGCAGAAGGAACTTGTCTTTTTGACGCGTTGGGTTTTCATAAGGTCTTTTGACGATGTCAGGACGAAAAATATGTATTTTCTAACAATGACGGTTTTCCTTCATTTAGGCTTCAAAAAGGGCGTTTTTTTTTTTTTTTTCAGTTTTAGTAATTTTTTTGTAATAAGTTAACTTAAGAAATTCAGATTTTAGTTTCAATTGTGTTTCTTTTTTTCTTGCGTCTAGTAGTTTCATATTTAGTTTTCAGTTCATAATTTTGTTTTTTTTAGAAAATTTCATATTTTTAATTATTGAATTGTAGAATAGGTTAACTTTCTGTTTCTGTTTTGCTTATTTATATGGATACCCTCTTGTAATAAAAAGCAGTTTAGTTGAATAAAATTTCGTAGTTTTTCTTGAATTTTCTCTTCCCAAATTCCAATATTATGTGTGAATCAATGGCTTTTGATGCAATTTTTCTGATATTATGTGTGAATTTCAGGTTAATCAGTTAGTCTTTTACTTTATTATTTCATTTTTTCTTTAATCAAGCTTCCCTAATATTAAGTTTGATATCTTCTGTTTTTAATAATTTTTTGTAAGTACCTTAACCTTTCAAAAAAATCTTTTTTAGTACTTGGAGACAGTTCTTTTAGGATATAAAAGATAAAAATACTTTTGTTATTATTAAATGGCTTTAAATTCATTAGCCAACTTCCTTGCAATCCAACATGAGGAAGCCTTTTTATTATTTTGAACTGGTACTCCGTAGTTATGCACTTAATGATAATTTTAACCAGGATAATTTTGTCTGATCAACAAGTGATATTTAATAATAGGGTAATTTTATCTTTTTGTGTCTAAAAAACTACTCTAAGGTACTAAAAAAGATTTTTTAAAAAGTTGGATTACCGGTATGAAATTATAAAAAATAGAGAGAGTATGAAGCTCAAATTTTGATATAACACAAGGTACTAAAAAGAAAATTTTCCTTTTATGAAATGTTTAATAAAGAGTAATTTCAGGTTAACTAAATAAAAAATTATTAAAAATAGAAAATTTGACATTTTATTTTCTAAAACATGGCGTCAGGGTATAAAAAATAATTTTTTATAAACTTAACGTGAATTAGAGTGGGCAGGATTGAAAGTGAGGAATCAGAGCCATAATAAGTTTTTTACTTGGTGACTGGATTCAGAATCAGAGTCACTCTAAACCTCATTTATGCGTTTACTTACATTCATAATCAGAATGAATTAGTGTAAATGTACTAATATACTCTTTAACTAAATTTTTTATTTTCAATTTAAAGAATAAATTGTGTACTTATTATATTAAAATAAGTCATAATTAAAATATTTATTATAATAATACGGTAACAAAATAACAATTATTTAAAATATAAAAACAAATTGTAAAAAATTTGAATAAAATAAATAAAAATTAAAAATAAAGTGTTAAAATTAGAATGTATTATTAATTTATTAAACAAAATAAAGTACATATTCATTATATTCATTATATTGAAGTTAACAATAATTAGGCTAATATTATGATATTAGGCAAATAAAATAATATATATATAGGTTTTAATTATTATTTTTTAATTTTATATTTATAAGTAAACTAGGGATATAATAGTAATTTAATATTAATATCATGAATGAAAGTCACAACCTCAAGGTGGCATGGGATTGTTAATCTCATTTTTCAATCCCAAATTTGAGTGGGATCTACTAATTTCACTCCCATCTAAGATAAAAAAGATCAAATAAGCATAAAATTGACTCTCATTTCTCTACCCACATTTCTCAATCCTAATAAGTAAACTTATCATTATATTGATAGGTGTTTAAAATATTATCACATCAATTATGATCAAAGATTGTATGTACTAATAGAAATATGACATTTTAAATGTCATATTAGTTGGTATACAAAAATTGAAACTTTTTTTTTACCCTACTATACATTTTTTTCCCTTTCTTCGTATTGACCCTCATAAACGTACTTTTCACGTTAATATTGACATACTTTTTTCTCCTACACACCTGTGTCAATTTTTTTTTTTTTTTTAAATCATCTTCTCTTGACAAAATGTTTCGTAAGTGGGGTTTTTTTATATATTTTTTGTTTTTTTGTTTTTTTACTGTTTTTCAGTTTTTTCTCTCTATTTTATTCTTTTGTCTGCCTCCTTAATTTTATTCTTATCTTTTTTATTTTAGTATACATTATTTTTTTTCCTCCGAGCCAGACCTTAATAATATGTTTTTTTTTTTTTTTTACCTATAAAATCTGACGCGCATGCGTACGCGGTTTCAACTAGTCGGATCATATCTCCAAGTCAATACGTACAACAACATAGTCTATGGAAGAAGACTTTTCGTCGCCTCCGTCTAGACCTCTTTTGGAGTTCTTCTTTTCTCAACAAAATTTAAAAAAAGACAATTTAAATTTAAATTTTATTTAAAATTATATTTTTTTAAGTTTTAATTTAATTTAATTTTATTTAAATTATAATTATAATTTAAATTATAACTCAAATTTAATTTAAAAATTACACTCATATTACACTTTAAAAGAATATGTCTTTTATTTCTCGAGACGTGACAAGAATTCTTGTCACATGAATTACGAGGCCCGTTCATTTCGCTGATTTGAGTTTATAATTCGAGTTGAGATGTGATTTTATGTGAGAGCTTTTTACTGTAACAAAAAAGTTAAATGTGATTATTTCTAAAAATTTTTTACTGTAAAAAAATTCAAATTCTAAACTCGAATCGGTGAAGTGAACATGGACTAATTAGATAGCTCTCTCTTTCTCTTATTAAAGGAGCGACTGTTAGAAGAGAAAACCTCAAGAAACTAACAGAAAACGAAGAAAGCTGTTTGGGAATAATCTGGATTTCTCATTACCTCTGGAATGATACAGAAACCTAGCTTATATACTAATAGGCAAGTTGTAAAAATAAGTTGTAACTAACCAACCACTTATACAGCTAATTGTAACTAATGAAACTAATTACATATCTACCTATTTACAGACTATTTCTAATATCGACTTTTCTTCTTTTCAGTTTCCGCCACAACTTGCTTGTCGTTTTGCAATATTCCAAATCCTCTTTCTTTACTGAATGCTCTCTCTCTTCAAAATTTATCTATAGAGCTTTTTCACAATATACAGAGTCGAGAAATATTCCAACTTAAAAGTAAACCTTCCGAGATTTTCATGCTTCATAACACAAATTCATAATAGTTCTTCTGTAACACTCCATTTTGAGGAAAAGCGAAAGGATTAATCTCTCCAATATTGTTTGGAGACGTGTGATCTCTCTCTCTTCCAACTGTAAGATTTTTGTTTTTGAAGATTCCATGTGATATATAGCTTGTAATTACTGATCATCAGTTTCTATTGTTGATCACATCTTCTCTTGCAACAGTGAGATATTTATTTTTTATAATGTTAAATCGTACGATCTTCTCATTTGAATTGTTCTTGTTCTTCCTCTATTTAAGACTTTCTTTTTCTTCTTGAGAAAAAAAATAAAATAAAAGAAGATTTCATTTGCCTGCTTTTTCTAGAGAAAGTAACAAAATTGGACAAATGTAAATGTTCAGGAATTCATAACATACCAACAAACCAAAACTCATACTTCTTCTGTTGTTGACTTGTTTTTGTTGTTTTTTTCTTTTTGTTTTTTGTTTTTTTTTTAAGAGATCTGGACTTAAATCTGTCCCCCAATACCCTTTTCGGCATGTTGATCTAATGTCTTCGTTAATTAAGACAAGTTCATATATATATATATATATATATATATATATATTTCATTTGCAGGCTTCAAATCTCGCACATATCTCGATAGACGGCGCTCACTCGAAGCTGGAGGTATATATGAATTAAGGTCCTGAGATTTTATAACTTTTGTCCTTTAAAATTGATTGTCTAGCATTTAATACTTTCTATAAACTGATATTTCTTGATGAAAAATTTACTTTTTATAATTGCAGGGAGAAAACAGACAAGTGCATCGGACCGACATCTAAATAAGGCAGACTAACGGTACTTAGCTTCCACTCAAATTCTTGCCAATATTTTTGTGCGAATTGCCAAATTATAGATATTATATAAATACATTGGAAATAATTAACATGCTTGATTGAAGAACTTGGAATTATTGTTTTGTTATGTTCACTTTTATCCTTAAATAAATATACTCTCAAGTTTCTCTGAATTACTTTTGCAATAATATAAATATAATTTGAAAAAAGCCTCTTTTTTTTTCATTTTGGGGGAATTCATTTTTTTTTTTTTTCCATTTATTAGATTCGTTATCTACTTAGTTTCTATAAAGCAAATCTTGGGGCATGAAAGGATTAAACTGGGTAATATGTAGAAAAAACATCTATAAGTATAGGTATTTTAAAATTTTAAGAGAATATTATGAAATTTAAAACTTTTAAGAGAATATTATGAACTTCTTTTAAAAAGAAAATAGAGAATTTTAATTGTTGCTCGACGGGGGCATTTATTTAATTTAATGTGGAAAAGTATAACTCGAAAAAGAATTAAAAAGCTCCAGGTCTGAAAGTTTTTCCATTAAAAATATCTGAAAAAAAAACAAAAAACAAAAAACACTCTGGGTCTATCATAAGCTTGAATGAACGACAAAAATGTTTAAATACGACATGAAGATAAAGACGACTATCACTTGAAAAGCTGTAACAACGAGCAAAACAACCCCAAAACAAAAATAACGGCATAAAAAAGAGTACATCAGTATAATGATGGACAAAAAGTGTATAAAACCATAAAATCTCCTAAAAGACAATGGCCCGTACCACCATTATGGAATGACCAATTCGCCCAAATTATCATCTGGCCTAGGAGTAATATATATAAAGATAATAATCAAGAGTATGAAATTAAATAATTAAATGTGGTGTTATTCACATTTCCTCACCAAAGATATATGTGTAAACTACTAGCTAGTTGAGAAACAACTTATTATTATTATTATTAAAAGGAAAGTTCAGAAACAAATTTCAGAAGAAGCAAAATCTATGATCTTATTATTTTAAGTATTTACGTCGAATTACTCCTCACATTAATTTTCGCACTTACAGTAATTTGTAATTCTCTTGCATGCGGAATGACTTACATGGCAGGTAATAATTTAACAATACAGAGAGATAGCTCTTTTCTATAGTGGCAGTCTTCTACTTACCTCTTCTTTTATTATTATTTTTTTTACTGTTTTATTTTTAATTTTTGAATTTTACATTTTAATTTTTTTATGTTTTTTAAAATATATTGTTACCCCAATTCTTCTCGAACTAGATAACAAACGACAAGAAGTCGAGAACGACATTAATGTTTGAAACGAGAAGGCGTATTGACATAAAATCAGAAAATCCGCCATTACAACTATTAACGTACAATATGGCAAAAAAACTAATAGAGACGACATGGCAATGCACACGTGAAAAGGCAGAACATAAGATTACGACAATAATCTAATAAAAAGTTAACGACATAACCAATTGAAAAGATAACAAGTACAAAGCAACTAAGAGAAAACGACAAAAAGTTGGTGGCGGAGGACAACCACCTGAAAAAGCACATAACATGCAAATACTGTTGTAGTTAAAGGAAAATGAGTAAAAGATTAGGAAACGACAGCCACATATCCATATTATATTCAAATACGACGAGAAAACCAACAAAATAACGGGAACTAAAAAAAATAAAAAAAACTAAACCCAGAAATGACATCAGTCTGAAATAACATGATGATCTTAACAATGATAACCATACATAAAACAACAATAAATTTGAAAAACGAAGTAACAGTAAAAACGACAATGTTAATAAAAACGACATAAAATTGGAAACCACAATAAGATTCTTATCTCTGTTGGTGAAGTATCTTCCATACGTGAACATATGTGAGTGTAAACTTTTGAGGTGAGTGTTAATTTTACATCTTTCAATATATAACAGTAGAAAATTTGTAAATGGCCACTTTTGAGGTGAGAAAAAAGCAAAAATGATTGCTTTCTCTGACTTTGGGAGAAAATGGCCGTTTTCTTCATGGGGTAATACAATAAGGGTCCGTTTAGTTCGCTGATTCGAGTTTTTAATTCGAGTTAAGATGTGATTTTATGTGAGAGCTTTTTACTGTAGCAAAAAAGTTAGATGTGATTGTTTGTGAGAGCTTTTTACTGTGACGACCCTCATATGAGGCCGCCACTGTAACTTAAACTTTAACTTGTACTTACTGGGGTTTCTTAAAATTTGCGGAACATTTTTTTTAATATAATAAAGAATACTTTCATAATTTGTAACAATAATTTCAAATAAGTGAATCACTAAATTTCTTAAAGCTTTTCTTAATTTCAGTTAAGATAAAACGTTCTAAAAATATCTTTCAAACAGAGCAGCATTTGAACTCCTATTTCAAATACTCTTTAAAAGCCTTTCTAAAACTAGCCAATTCAATCAGGCCATTTAATTTTGACTTTAAAACGGATTTCGTGAGAAATCTTAAATTCAAGTACATCTTAAAGCCCTTTTAAAATCAATCGTTTAAATCGTCATGTTTAAAATTTGTTTATTTGTTGCATG